TCCATTTATCATTTGATGGACATCTAGGTTATTTCCACCTTTTGGATATTGTGCATAATGAACATTCATGTGCAAGTTTTTTTATATGAATTTTTCAATTCTCTTGGATATATTCCTAACAGTAAAATTGCTAGGTTATATGGTAACTCTATGTTTAACTTTTTGAGGAATTGCTATATTAAGTCTTTAATTAGAAAAAAATCACCTAATTTTGTTTCACTTTTTCAAAATTGTCTTGGCTATTTTAGTCCTTTGCATTTCTTTTTTTTATTATTATTGAGGTATAGTCATTTTACAATGCTGTGCACAATTGTTGAGCACAATTTTTCAGTTATACATGAACATACATACATTCATTGTCACATTCTCTTTTTCTGTGAGCCACCACAAGGTCCTGTTCCTTTGCATTTCTAAGTGAATTTTAGAATCAGCCTGTCAATTCTAAAATTTAAAAAAAGCTTGCTGGAATTTTGTTTGGGAGTGCATTGCATCTATAAATCCACTTGGTTTGCTACATTTTAATTTTTTTTTAATTTGACTTATTTTCCAAACAATGCTTTCTAGGTGGAGTCAGACTCGTAGCTAGGAAGCAAGGACTCCAGGCTGAATTGCTGAAACCTTTTGCAACATCTTCAGGGTTAGAGTGAAGCAATTTCAAGATAGCTCGTGCAGTAAGACAGGCCCGCGGAGCCTGGAGTAAGCCAGTGGAAGCCTTCTGTAATCATGTCTGTTTTGTACATTTATTACCTCATTTGTTTGCTTGCTGTTAACCCTCAGAATTTTAGTCATCTTTGAAAATTCCAGCCTATCGAAGTGGTGCTAAGAGTAAATGTTTAGTCCAGGACTATGAGCTGAAGCCAGTGTGGTGGGTGTAGCTGCAGAGGAAGCAAGAGAATTTCAAGGGGATGTCAAAACTCAGAGGAAAAGGATCTGAGCCTCTCGGTCAGCTTTTGAAAGAGCTGCCTGAGATTCTGGGACTTGTCTGAATGAAGGAGCACCTTCGGAGGATTCTTGGTTATACCCAACAAAATCCTAAACTGAACTAACTGAAGCAGGAAAGGGGCATCGATTGCCTCATAGAACCAAGTCAAGGGTAAGGCAAAGCCATACCTGACCTCAGAGACGCCGTGACACCACCTGGCTCTGCACTTCTAGTCTCTGTACGTCAGTTTTATTCTCTCAGCCAGGCTGCTTCCACAAGTTCAGAGCTCTAGTCGTTTGCTTTCGTCTTTGAGGTCAGAGGGAAAAAGACAGAACTTCTCTCCCCCACCCTAGTGTGAAAAATACTGAGGGAAAACTCTGGCTGGGCTGGGATTACATGTGCATTCCTAGATCAGTCACTGTGATCAGGGAGGTGGGGTATCACCACTGGCTCATCTGGGCAATGCGCCCATTCCTATCAGTAGACAGGTGAGGGTGGTCATTGGCATCCCCAACCAAACTACATTTTTGGAGTAAGAAAGGATCAATTTTCCAAAGAAATAGGAGTACTGTTACCAGGGAAAGAGGGCAGATGGCGCGGCGCAGACCACAGCGGATGATGACCAGGAGGAGAGGTGTAGGATCAACTGGGAGAATGTGAGTCTAGCACCATGTCCGGGACAGCAGGGCTCAACTAACACTTTTTTTTTTTTTAATAGTAGGAAAGGCTGAGGTCTGAGTACATATGGAGTTCACAATTCCTATGTCAAGACGTGTCATGAATGTACCAGAAATTTTCAGGTGTCCAGATAAACTTGACCTAAGCCATTTAGTTGCAAAAAGGGGGAGAAACACATATGACGAAGAAAGGATATCTTGCAAGAATTTGCCTAGCCCACAGGCAGCACTCAGTTAATGCTCGTTGCATGGATTGCGCAAATGAAATGCTGAGTGTTTCTGTGTTCCCAGGTGACCATATCAGCATCCAGATGTTGCATTCTTATTTTATGATGACTTTGCTCTCAGCAGACACCCTGAAGGACTTCACAAGGCTCTACCCCTCCTTCCTTGTGAAATCTACTTTTCTCCTTGCTGTTGTCCATGGTTCAGCCACATGGTTTCCACCCTCCTGCCCAGCCCCTTGAAAAGATGCTTCTGTTGGAAAGATGGGTGTTCTAGATTGGCTGTGCCAGACATAGCCACCATATCTACTGAGGTGCCAGGCTCTGCGGTTTGGAGGCTGGCTCTGCCTCACTTGCAGCCGGGCACTGTGGCCTCTGGTCTAGAAAGGGAGTTGGAATGCATTGTCTGCTCCTGAACTTTTGTAGAAACAAATGCCCAGTCGACCACTTGATGAGCCTGAATTTTCCAAGCCGACCTTCACGGTCTCCTCTTCCCAGCTATGTCTTACCATCAAACAGAAGTTACCTATCTTCCAGTCCTTTCTGGAAACATGTTTATATGATTGTCTTAAAAGTAATCATGCTTGTGATGGTCTCCTTATTCACTGACCGTGGGATGTGAAATCTCTCTCCTCCTCTCTTGTCTCTGCACCTCCTGGCTGGTGCTCAGGTTGTCAGTAAGAGAAAAGATAGTCATTATCATTATTGCAGCTATGAATCATTGAGCGCCTACTGTATAACCAGCATGGCACTAGGTGCTGGGAATATGGTGATGAACAGAGGTGGGCACACGGGGCAGCTAAGGAAGATGAAGCTTCAGGAGCCTCGCCCGCACCACCTGTGTGAGCGCTGGGAGGTGTAAGGTGCTCTGGGCAGGAAGAGGAAGCCTGGTGACCATCAGGAAGCATTTCTATGTGGGTATTTCTACTAAATTGTTTCAATGAGCACCTCAGAAGGGCCTTAGATCTCCTAAGCTCTAGGAATTAGTGGCAATTTCTTTTCTCACTCTAAATGAATATTCATTTATAGTAAATTTTATATTTATAATTGTATATTTATTTTCTTAAAGAGGTCCCCCTCAAATGATAAAACCTTCAGCCCCCACAAAACCTGCCCCTGGTAGTGAACACAAGACATGATCCTTGCTGTCAAGTTTACAGTATAGAGGAAGAGACACTGATCAAAGAATTGCACAAATAAATATACTGTATTAAAGTGAGAAAAGGTTATGAAGGAGAACTGCGGAGTGTCATGAGTGCAACAATAGAGAAGGAGTAGGAGGAGCTTCCCTGAGCTGAGAGCTGAAGCGGGGGTAGACTGAAATTAGGCAGCGGGTGGGGGCGGATTCTTAATGCTTCTGCTGCACTGGCCCAGCTCTGAGGCGCTCTCCTGGACAGAGGTAGAGGCTGTCCTAGCCGGTCAGTTATAGACTTCTTCCTGGTCTTGTTGCTGGTAGATGATGTAGCTGGTGCCCAGGCTCTCGTCCTGTCCCAGAAAGAATTCAGAGACAAGATGCAGAGGTTAAGAAAGTAAAGTGGGGATTTATTAAGGGATGGACTGTACACTCTAAAGGGGAGAGCGGGCAGGCTCAGGTGTGCGGCTGCCCTGAGTTTCTTTGGCAAGTTGGTTAAATAGGGTGTAAAAATGAATGAGCAGAATATTCACTGGGGAAGAAAGGGCTTGGGGTCATATTCCCTGATTTTCATCCCAACTCCACCTTCCCAAAAGGAGGAGGGAATTTCGTCCTTATTTAACCTGGATTGAAATTGTCCTCATGTCGGTGCATGATAGGAACTTCTAATCTGCAAGGCTTATCTTA